CGTCCCCACCGGCCGGGCCGCCCCCTGGACCTTCTGCCTCCTCGCGCCCCTCAGCCCGCCTCTTGTCCCCACAGGGCATGGCCAAGCCCGAGGACCCGCTGCTCATGGCCAAGGACGCCTTCTTCCCAGCGCAGAAGTTCCTTCTGGAGAAGCCCGGGCTCCTGGCCAGCCCTGGTAGGAAGGGAGGGGAACGGGGCCGAGGGCGACGGGAAAAGGGGTGGCGGCTGCCGGGGGCCTCTGACCTTCTTACACCTGAGGACCAGGCGGCCCTCCACGCCGGCCGGAGAGCCGTCGAGCACACGGGTGCGCGGGGATGGGCACCTGCTCACACCCGCCCACGCTCGAGGTCACACACACTCAGACCTCCCAAGGCCCCGGAGGCTCCACTCACTTCAGCCTTCTTGAGGGGCGGGACTCCCACGCGGGGGCAGAGGGGGCAAGAAGGGCATTTCTGTCACGCCCCAGGGCGACGGGCCGAGGATGCCGTCACCCTCTCCCAACTCCATGGCCTTTTAGCTTCCCGGCCCCCAGCAAGGCTGTGCTGCCTCTGTGTCCTCGTCTGGGAAATGGGGGTGATGGTGGGGCCGGCTTCCTGGGCGCCCAGCGCAGGGCCGTCTGCAGGGGGCGACTGGTGCGAGGCCCGTCTGGGGCCAGGGGCTGAGCCCCCGGCAGGTGCTCGGGGGACGGGGCTCCCCAGAATTGGTGCTCAGGCAGGGCCCAGATGAAGAGCCTTGAGGATGGATCACCCTCTCTCTGTCTGTGTTTCTTTCTCTCACACATGGATTCTTTCTCTGTTTCGATGTGTCTCTCCATCCGTCTCTCTCTGTCTCATCATCTCTGCATCTCTGCCCCTCCATCCCCGATGCTGCCCCTCCCCGCCTCTGTCGCCTCCCTCCTGTGTGTCTGTCTCTCCCGCTCCAGAGGAGGACCCATCGGAGGACGACTCCATCAAGGACTCGCTGGTCACGGAGCAGCCCTACCCTTCCCCCCAGCAGCTCCCGCCCCCGCCGGGGCCCGAGGACCCTCTGTCCCCCAGCCCCGGGCAGCCCCTGCTGGGCCCTGGGCT